AGAAGAAAATTCCAGAATATTAAATATTGAAAGTCATTCTTCCTCCCCCACAAGCCCAAAAGGAGGTCTCATCAGATGAATAAAGCCTTGGTCCACTGGACCTGCATCCTGAGCTCCTCCCCACCAGACAAATGTAAAGATTCTCCTTAAAGGCTAAAAGCAGCTTCACTTGGATAGTTTGTCCAGTGAGAACGGTGTCTCACACACCTCTGACCTCTCCCTCCTCCCTCCCCACCCCACCCAGGGCCCTCTCCACCTGTGCAGAGCACCACTACTACCCAGGCCCACCACACAGGGTCAATTGCTCACAGGTAAGTGCCAGGATGTACCATCCCCTCTCCTACCCCCAGAATGGTTCCCACTGACCCATTTTAAGAGATGATGAACCGTTAATCCCAGCACTCGGGAGACAGAGGCAGGCAGATCTCTGTGAGTTCAAGGCCAGCCTGGTCTACAGAGTGAGTTTCAGGACAGCCTGTGTAGAGAGACCTTGTCTCAAAAACAAAACAAAAAACAAAAAACCCAGACCAAACAAAACAAACCAACCAAACAAAACAAAACAAAAAAAATAACAACAAAAAGCTGACAAAAGCTATATTTTCTCACCCCAGGAAAATGGGCAAATAACAAGCCTCTGATACTAAGGCCTCCATAACCCTCCGTTTAGAGTAACCTAGGAACCACCCACCGACAGCTGCAAACTGTCTCCACAGATTTTATATTCGCTGCATTTACATGGTCTTTATCTAACACCCTCATGGACAACAGGTTTCTACAAAAAGAATTTGTACAAAGGGGGATGTCCCTTCTTGATCCTCCGAGATTTGGACCCTGGGGCCAGCACAGGGTTTATTTGTAGAATGTCGCCCTACTGTGCCCTCCCCTCTCCAGTGCGTAGAAAAAATGCACACATAAGCCCCCTTTCTTGAGCTAATATGGACTTCAGTATATCCAGGGATATTATACAGGGTGTGTGTGTGGGGTGGGGATTGTGCTCTTTATAAAAAATGACTAGTTTGCCTTTGAATTATTTTGTCTAGTCTCTTGGTGGCAACATGTGGAATTCTTATGTGCACAGAACGTTAATTCATAGGCTGGGTGTGGTAGTGATGCTTTTAATCCTAGTACAGAGGCAGAAGCAGGCAGATTTCTGTTAGTTAGAGGCCAGTCCAGTGTACATCAGGCTAGCCAGAACTACACAGTGAGATCCTGTCTCAAAACAAAACAAGCAAAGAAAGAAAGAAAAAAAAGTTAATTCTTCAGGATTTTGAAGATCTGCAGCTCTCTGTTTCTCTCTCTTGACTTGCTGGAGATCTCTTGAGCAGATCATCAAAATAAGCAATCAAAATATGCAAGTCCCTTTTAAAACCTGGGACACTGAGGAACACTGGCGTGGCCTGGCCAAAGTCCAGGAAGGGAGCTGACTGTGGATGATTTAGAGTTTTTAAGGGCCTTTCTGTACTTGGAAGAGTCCCATTCGAAACAAAATGCGAGTGTAGTAGGGACCTGCCCTGTGCTCCTGCCATTGGAGGACGGGGCGGGAGGAACAGTGAGATCAAGGCCAGCTTGATCAACATAGTTCAGGCCAGTCAGGACTACACTGCAAGAAGACAAAACAAAACAAAACAAACTAAAAACTAAGAAAGAAGGAAAGACAGGCACACAGACAGACAGACAGACAGACAGATGCAACCCTTAAATCCCTCAAGCCTCTCTCATTCCTGCCTCAGAGCTGGTCTTCCTATTGATAAGCACATACTCTTCAGGAGGGTCCCTTCCCCCACCCAGAGACCGCCAACTCTGCTCCTGACTGAGGTAGAGCCCAGGGTCTCTTGCTAGAGGATCTGCAGTTTCCCCAAGAACAAAATCCCGGAGGTGGGTCACCACTGCGCTGCATCCCTGGTCTACCCCCCCTTCCCCCCAGTTCTGCTGAAACTGGTTTGTTTCCTGAAGCCAATTCTCGTCCCAGGGCTCCAGGGGCTCTTCCTCAAAATCCCCAAAGACTGAATGAAGCTCAGGGAATATGCTTTGTTTTCTATGCCCCTCCCAACCCCCCCCCATTCTTTTTTCCGATTATCTGCTACCTTCCTGCGCCAGAAAAAGACAGACACCCAGGGCAGCTAGTTTTCTGATGTTGGTGAACTGTTCTACCTGGCTCCCAACCCACCCAAACCCCAAACGTTTCTCTATCAGATGGGAAGGAGGGACTTTAGAGTGCGGACTTAGAGCGCGGGCCATCTTGCTTGTTTCTAGGTGGACAGCAAAGTGAGACGTCCTTTCCATCACTGCCAGAGTTTGGAGAATGCTCTTTCCAGGGCTCTCCAAGCCTAGGATAAGAGCAGACCCCCACCACCCCCACCACCACCACGTTGACCTTATCCCAGCACGGAAGATTCCTTTGGGGTCTGCCGGATCCCATAGGTAATGTTTTAATTAATATTTGTTGGATGGATTTTCAAAAAGACCAGTGACTGGACTAATAATTTTTTTTTCCGTTTAAAATAAACTGGGCTGGTAAACATTAAAGAAAAGGCACTTGCAGCCCAACCTTAGAGACATGGGTAGATTCCCCGGAACCCACAAAAAGGTGGAGAGAATCAACTCCACCTCTGAATTGTCCTCAGACCGATCACCAGGTACCTTTCCATGGCGTAAATGAGTGCCCTCACCGTCACCCCCCCCCCATTACATGCACACATAATAGTAACAAATACAAATTTACGAAAAGAATAAAACGAATTGAACTAAAGCCCCCCAGCTGCCCGAGGAGAATGAAAGGAGGTTCCCCCTGAGACCCGAGCTGAAGTTCACTTTCCCTTAAGCCAAAACCTGTTCCGAGGTCAGGAAAGAGAGTCAGTGATAACCTTTGGGGGTGGAGGAGGCTAGGGCAATTCAAGACGCAGAGAAGCACGGAGCGGAGCGGGGCGGCAGGGGAGAGGATGCAGAGACTGAGACCAAATTCGGGAGGGAAAAGAGGTTGCGATGGGACCACAGGCCAGAGAGAGCGGCAGCGGGGAACTAACTGTCCCTGGGGCCTCCCCACTTGGGTTAGGACAGAGAGAAAAGTGAAGAAACCGGTCGGCTAGGGAGTGCAGGGACAGAGACCTGGGAACCGCGCTCCCAGAAACTCAGGTTTTTTGTTTGTTTGTTTGTTTGTTTGTTGTCTCTCTGGCCTGCCCTAGCTTAAAAAAATCGCCTGAGGATTTCCACCAGGAACGAATTAGTGTTGATGCTGAAATGAGCGAGAGTCGGACACCCCTCCCCTCCGGGGATGGGGTGGGGGTGGTGGAGGGGGGAGCATACTTCTTAGGATAGACCCATTGAATTTTTAACTTTGGACTCACAGCGTCTATTTAAATATATTTTGTTTCACACTAAAAATATGCGTATGTGTCTGCTTATTAGTACGTGCACGTGGTGCCCCAGGAGGCCAGAAGAATGCATGGATCCCCACGAGCTGACCAACTCTCCTTAGAATGTACACCAATGAAGTCCACCCCACTCCGGTCTCCGCAGGTGGAACCAGATAGTTCGCTTTCTTCCCCATCTTCCAGACTAGGAAATTGAGGCTCACGGGAGGGTAGCGACCCTGCTCAATAGCACAAACGAGCCGAGGCCGAAAGCAAAGGGCCATCCGTGCAGCGGTCACTGGAGTTTGAAGGGGAACGATCGCAATAGAAAACTGGAGAGTTGACGAGACAGGGCCAGTGTAGGAGGAACCGGGCGCCCAGGGCCGAGCTTGCACGGACCCGGCTCCAGCGGGAGGTGGGTGTCTATCTGCTCTCCACCGGGTTTGTGGCTCTCAGACCCAGTCAGTGCAGGGATCTGGGGCCGCCGACGCCTCTCCAGCTCAGATCTGGTCCCAGCTGGTCTTTTCTTTCTCCAGCGCATGGAGAAAGCAGAAAAGGTGCGGCTGCCCGGGCTGACGCTCAGTCACCCTCAGCGGGTGCCAGGGCTGCCCCGAGGCAGGCTCCGGCGAACCACGCAGGTGTCTTTGGTGCAGCCCGGGCCCTCACATCTGCGATCCGCAGAGAACAAAATCTGGGTGACCCGGCCGGGGAAAAGGAAGCTGGGGATGGGAGCAGGAAAGAACTGTGCGGCCCTTACCTGTGTCGCCGCTTCTTGCGTTTCTTGGTCTGGTTTAAAGCCGATTTGGACATTTTTCGGTCGCTGGAGGAAACATCTTCGGAATCTGAAAAGCGAGCGGAGAGGCAGGAGGCGGAATGGGGAGTGCGCTCCGCAGAGCCGCAAAATAAGGTGAGGACCCCACCTTCTGCAGCCTGGGCGAGCCGCGCGGGCCTGTGGTCTCCAGCAAGCCCTCCGGGGCCTGGGCGACCGTCCCCATCCCTTAGCCCAGGCTGACCCTCCCCGGGTCTGCTTCTGAAACCACAGATTTTGAAAAAAATTCGTTGCAATAAAGACCAAGGCCCAGGCGCGCTGGCAGGCAGGGACGTGGGAGAATGAGGTAGGCACTGAGGATTTAGGGACCCGGGTTGGTACTCTTAGCTCTGCCCTGTCAAGTGCAAGTCCCAGGTCGAAAAGTTGACCCAAGGAATGGAGGCTTGTTGGAGGGGAGCTGGGACTCTGGAAAGGTCTGGAGACTGCGGGTTCGCTGCCTCCTTCGTGGCACCCACAAAATGTTTTTCTGTTCGAGTTCAGAGAGCCTGCGACGAACCACTTTGTGTTCTCCTTCTACACTTAATACATAATAAACAATGGCACGAAAAATCTAGGGAATTACTGAGAGCCGGCGAGCTAGAACACACCGCCAGGAAAGTGGCCCTGAAAGGGCGAGGGGGAACTCATCCAGGGTCCCTGATCCAGAGAAAAAATCAGGATCCAATCCAGGAGGCGCTTTGGTTGGATCTGTTGGATGCCCTTTGGCCGCCGATGTGGCTTTATTTTCCCAGTTCGTAGGGGCAAAGGAAATCGAACCTCAGCTAAGCAATACAGAGGTTTGGAACGGAGAAGAGGGGAGGAAAATGGGGGACAACTTTGGACACAGGGGCAAGAGCCAGGGCTGGCTTCTCTTTCCTGTCCCGCCAGCAACATCAGGCTTCAGGAGCGCAGGTCCTGCCCAAGGCCAGGGCACCGTGGAGCAGCAGAGCTGGGCCCCTCCAGCTACCTCCTTAGGAGATGATGCGACAAGGACTCAGCCACCCGGAGCCTAGCAGCCAGTAGGACCCCCAACCCAGAGATGGGATCGAGCGGGGCCAGGACACTAGTTCACAAGAACTGAGCAGGGGTTGGAAAAGCTGAATCTGAAAACCCTCTTGAGTCCGGGTCGCTGGCCCGGGGCCCTCTGACTCTAGGCCTGGGCTGAGATCCGTTGGCCTGTGCGAACTTTTCCTCCCGGGGGAGGTCGCGGCCGGCTGGCGAGAGCCGACGGCGCAGGCAGGGCTGCGGCTTTCCCAAGCAGTGTGGCAGGCGAGCAGCCTTGCCCTCACCTACCCGAGCTGGCCGTCTGGCTGGTGTCCAGCGGCCCCGACGCTCTGCCTAGTGGCTGCAAGTGGACGCTCTGCGGATCTGACAGCACTTCCAGAAAGGTGGGCTGCGCGTAGAAGCCGGGAAGTCCCCCGGGCCCCAGCAGCCCCATGCCGCCCACTCCCGCCGGGCTGAGCACCGAGCGCGCAGCCAGCAAGTGCCCAGGGGCCAGGCCGTCGAGGGCAGCCCGCGGGTGGGAGCTGGGAGGCTCCTTGTTCAAGCCTAGGATCTCCTGGATGCCGAACCCTGTGCACCTGGCCGGGGCGCCCCCCGAGGTACTCTTGGCCACTGTCTCGGATTTGGGCTTGCTCAGCGCTTCCCCCGTTTTCCCCGTCATCTCCCGGTTTCTTTGGAGGGGCTGAGGCCGCGGGTCTTTTGCTCCCCCAACCCCCCCGCCGGGCTACCCGCTTCGCGAAGTTGGTCCCAGGTGCCCCCTCCGGTGTCTAATGCTCTGGAGCCCCAAGGAGATTCCCTTTTTATCCAACCAGGCGGCTGCCCAAGTGGGGTCAGAGCTGAACAGCCAATCACCGGGGCCAGGAACGATTAGGAATTCCAAAAAGCTGGCAGCTCCCGCCGCCACCGGCACCAAGGGGCCAGGGCGCTGCAGGCCCAAGTGTGGTGGGCTATGCAGGGTGCCTGCCCTTGGGCTAGATCTCCTGGATCCCGGGTGTGTGTGTGTGTGTGTGTGTGTGTGTGTGTGTGTGTGTTGGGGCGGAGGTGAAACGGCTAGATTTGAGGTTATTCCAAGAGGCACGGTGGATGGAGGCTTTGAGTTGTATAACCTGCCTGGGACCAGTCCCGGGGTTCGCTGGGACAGATGCCTGGTGTGGGGTTGGGGAGACGTTAGGATGGGCTGCAGATAGAGGATAGAGGTTAGGAGACCTCCCTCCCTTACCTCAGGAGGCTCAAATAGACTCAGACATGGGACAAGAAAGGCTGGAGGGCCCTGAACTGTGTGGTGGGAATGGGGGGTGAGTGGGTAACCGGAACTGGCTTCGGCGTGGAGAGGGTGATGGGTGGGTAGGGACTTGTCTCCCCAGTACAGAAGAGCTGCTCAGAAAGCTGGGCCACCTTAGAGGCGGCAGGAACAGGATCAGGCCATAGGGGGAAAGAGGAACAGCCAGGATTTTCTTTGACAATAAATACGGGGGCTTCTCCCCTCCCCTTTCTCCCTAGCTCACCCTCCTCACCCAACCTTTCTTTCCATTTCCTCCTGGGTTTTTCAAGATTTCAAGACAGAACCAGCTTGTTCTCAAACGCGCTGTTCGCCTGCCTGGTCCTCCCGAGGGCCACTTGACCAACTCTGTATTTTGAAGAGTGCCCGGCTTCACTCAAAGACCGTATTTATTTGGTCTTCCAGTCACTCAGTTAGCAGCTCTGAGTCAAAAGCTTGGAGTTCTGCAGCAAACCCAATAGGCCAGGCAGAGGGTCCTTCGGGCCTTCAGAGCTCACCTCGGAGGCTGACGACTAGGAGGGAAGGAGAAGTGAGCAGCTCCCCCCCACCCACCCCCGGTTGGTGGGGCCCTTCTGACCTCCTCCTCCTCCAGTAGCTACAGAGATGGGCAGTCAGGGGTGCCAGCCGAAATGTAACGGGAAGGGCAGGACACTGCTCCAGGCAAGCTGCGAGTTTTACCTGGAGAGCAGATAGGCTGGATTCCTGAGGTGGAGGTGGGCTTTTGAGTTTCTCACATGCTCTTGCTTCAGGTCTCAGATCAGAGTGTGGTCCAAGCGCCACTAGCCAAGGTGAATATGTGTCCATACACGCTACAGATCCGCCCCCCCCCCCCAGTTAGCACCTCTGTCACCTTCCAGAACTGGAGTTTATCTTATTTATTTTAGGACTTCCCTACCCACTGTGCAGAACATATGATGATTTTTAATAAATGCTTCTTTGATTCGAAGAAGGTAAAGGCTGGACGAGGACCCTGGCGGCACAGGCCTTTAATCTCAGCATTCAGAGGCAGAGCCAGGCAGATCTCTGTGAGTTCAAGGCCATCTGGGGCTACAGAGTGAGTTCCAGGACAGGCTCCAAAGCTACACAGAGAAACCCTGTCTCGAAAAACAACAACAACAAAAAGGAAGGTAAAGAAGGTTGTTTTGGGGCAGAAAATGGAAAATCAGACAGACTGGCAGGAGATTTCATTCAGAATGTTTTGGCTTTTTTGCTGTGACCCTCCAAAGAATGGGGAACTCTCTCCCCATCCTCTGCCTGCTGCCATGGTGTCTGGTATTCTCTGTGGCCTCTGTAAGGCCAGAGTGAGAGGTCAGAGACACTGTAAAAGGTGTGGAATTAGGCTTTGTTGAGCTGGGTATGGCAGCGCACACTAATTCCAACACCTGGGGGGTGGAGGCAGGAGGAACAGAGTTCAAGATCACTTTAGCTACACAGTGAGTTCAAGGCCGCCCTGGGCTTCTCAAAAAACAAAGCACTTGGGAAGCAGAGGCCTCTCAGTGAGAATTCTCAGTGAGTTCAAGACCAGCCTGGTCTGCAAAGTGAGTTCCAGGACAGCCAGGACTGTTACAGAGAGAAACCCTGTCTCGAAAAACCAAAAGAACAAACAAAAAGAAGCAACAACAACATCACGCATACACACAAAACCAAAAACAAACAAACACACACACACACACACACAAATTAGGAGCTGAGGATTTGGCTCAGTTGTTAAAATGATTGCTGCTCAAGCATGTGGATCGGAGTTCAGCCCTCAGCTCCCTGGTAGGACACGGGGCACAGTGGCTCCTGTTGTAGTCCCAGTGCTGGGAAGACACAGGCAGGCCATTCTCTGGGCCTTGCTGGTGCTTGCAAGTGGTGATGGTCACGATAACTGCCCGTTTGACAGAATCTAGAACCGCCTGGGAGACAGGCCTCTAAGCATGTCTATGGAGGACCGTCTTTTAAACTCATTATTTGTGTGTTTGTTTTTATTCAAGTGAATCTGTGTAGGGGTGTGCCATATGTGAGTTCAGGTGCCCCTGGAGGCCACAAGACCGCATCAGATCCCTGGCGCTGGAGTATAGGCAGTCGTGAGATGCCTGATGTGAGTGTTGGGACCCACACTCAGGTTATCTGTAATCTGTAATAGCAGCAAGTGCTCGTGTGTGTGTGTGTGTGTGTGTGTGTGTGTGTGTGTGTGTGT